GTGGTTCTACAAAGTATTGACTCCAGGGGCTGAATAATTACACACACCCCACTATAGATAGTCTGGATTTTGGCTTTCTCTGCACAACATACTGGAAGTGTTCATTATTTAAATTTAATATCAACAGGGTACATTCCAAGAACATGGATCTGTAAAACACTGAATCTTCACTTGGGCAGGTTAGTGTTATTGAAAATACTTAGCAATGCTTTTTGCCTGATCAGCAGCTGGCCTCGTGCAAAACACTGCATTATCATAGTTACGTGTGATCTACCCTTCCAGCTCTGCCCACCCTCTTGACAGCATAGCTGGATTGCTGGACCTCTCCCTCCTCTACCACCTCTGGATCAGTGCCACCTTTCTCCTCTTCACTTGGTACATCATGCTGCTGCTCTTTAGGATTTTTCTCACTGAGGTATGTATCAGTTAAAGGCAAAATTTAGATCTCTAAACATTTTAAAACCAATTGTGCTGTTCAGTATATTAACTATCATTAACAAGTCATTGAGGAAAGGTTGTTTCTTCCTGTTTTAATACTGTGATAATTACATTTCCTAAATAAAAAATCCTATCTTGAATCCAGTTCCTCTAGGAACTATTGATTGACCTATTTCAAAATTGTCATTTATTTACAAACTGTTTTTTTTTTGTTTTTTTTAAGTTGTCAATTTATGTATGTGTGTGTGCGTCATGTTATATATCCTTCATTCATACACAGGTTCTGCTGACCATTTCAAAATGATTTTGGTCAGTGGAAAACAGTACATAGTAACCACAATAACATCCATAATCAAGTCTACACAACTTCTATTTATATTTTTTAATAACTTGGAAACACTAGGGGGCAGCAGTGTCAAGGCAATGGGTTTCTAAGGACTGAAAAGCATCTCTAATGAAAGATAATAAATAAATAATAAAATGAAATTAAACATAATACATTTCTTCTGTAGGGGTACAGTTTTCCTGTGCAGTCATCTTTTACTGAGGATGCAGACCATTGCCTTCCTAAAGTACTGACTGAAAAGCAGCCAATGCTATTAAAAGTAGGTACAAAACACATTTATATTCTTGCAAGCATATCCATTTTAGGTTAAACCCCACTGATCACCAAATTCTGGTGCTCTCTTTTCCCAAATTTCAGTTCCTAGCTTTGCAGGACTTGGCTCTGTTGTCTCAGCATTCTCCATTACGACGCTGTGAAGTCTTCAGTCTGAGTCAACCAGGTCTGATCATAGTTTCTTTGCACAAAAGAAGTTTTTATTATTTCTATAGCTGTATAGCCCATTCTTCTGATTGTGACATCAGGCATATAATATGTAGATTTTGGTAGTCAACTGTCAAGCTCCTTCTGACCTCACGTCCAACAGATAAGTTAAATCAATCACAAACATCAAACATGCAAGGCAGGAGCCATAGTTCTTTTGTAAGAATAAATCTTGACGCATGTCAGATATTCAGATTGTGCTTTTATCTAGCTCAGAATGTATTCCTTATTTATTTATTCCCAGGTGGACATCCTCATAACTGGAATGCTATCAGTAAAGAGTGCCTCTCTCTGCTGGCTGATCTTACCCAGAGACTTGTAGCCTATCATGACACTGTAGCAACCAATGGCAGGGCCAAATCACTGTCAAGTGGGAGTGAAAGGAAGACTTCTTCTGAAACATCAGGTACATTAGTATCACAGAAGTGGCTATCCATGTCAGCCAACTGTATAACAGTCTATTAAAATAGTGTGAGTGTGTTTATGGCATGTATGTATATTTTAATTTTTTTGTAATCCTAACCTCAGGTACAGAAGATTTCATGAGTCCAAGGCCTACCGCTTTTATGAAAACTCCAGCTTCAGTCTTCGCTCGGTCCATTGCTGGAGGCCAGCAGAGCCCTCTAACAGCCCCGTTCACCCCTGATCTGGACAGCCCTTTTATGTCTCCTGCACTGCGGCGTCTTGCTGCTCCTGTGGAGCAAGGTTCACCTTGGTACGGCACAGTGCAGAGCCCCCACATCATGAGGCGAGTGCCCAAACTCTGGTCCACATCCACAGGTGAGTAGGGAATAATGGGAGCCGTCAGGTCATTCAGATCGTACAACTGCAATAAAATGCAATGTTAGACAAAAGAGAGAATGTGTTGACTGGTACAGTTCCCTTTCTTTTCTTTTTTTTAATGATGGCATTTTTGGGGGCAATGAAGTGATACTTTTTTACGTTGGGTGGTCTGATAGGTTTATCCATTTTTGGGTACATTATAAGCTATAAGCTTCTGTTGATACAGATTCCCAGGTTAATGGCAGTCCCCCGCCATCACCAGCTTCAGTTCCCAGTGACAAGCAGGAACCCTCCAAACCAAGTTTTCTGGCTCAGTTCCTCCAGAACAGAAGAGAACAGGTACTAAAACCTTGTCTCAAAGCCAAATGATAATGTGTTTTTGGTCCTGCACTGTGCTTCTGACGTAAGGCTTTTCACACTTATTAATTCAGGAATAATATAACAGGAGTCAAGTGCTGTGGTCTACTTCATCCAGCTTTTCTAGTTTTCCAAAAACCTACAGTCAGGGGTAGACAGATGTGAAAATTAACAGGGATATCACAAATTCAGATGTAAGGTTCTGGGAAATGTGTCAAATCGGGAGCCTGTTTATGGTTATTGTTAGAAGTGTGCTTTTACTTTAAGTCAGGGTCTCGACCCAGAGTTAAGTGTGAAAAGCTAGTATTTGTGTTAGTCTCTGTCTTTTTTTTCTTTTTTTAAACTTTATCACCAAAACACTTCTACATTTAATTGTCTCATTTAGGTTAAAAATTTCTTGGCAAAGCGAGTGCTGATAGTGTATTTGTTTAACAAGGTAAGAACGTGTGGCATGTGCATGCTGTCTCCCTTAAACTTCTCCACACTGGGGGGCTCTGGCATGCTCTTATCTGGCTTGGTAGATTTGTCTTTTTTTTTTTTTTTAAACAAATCTAGCGTTCTCGTGTAGTAGCCATTACTAATTTATCTCCTGGTTCTGGACCTAATGGTGGAGGCATTACTAATGCATCTCTTTTCTATCCATCTTGCTCTTACAGTGAGCATACTAATTACCTTTAGAGCTTGAATTAAGGGGTCATGTGACAATCAGTTGTAGTGCTTGGAGTATATGCTTAGAGATTTCCTTTTTCTGATCACACAGTGAGATTATCAGAGAAAAATCTCACGACTTGCATTTCCCTGCTTCCTCTGTATAGAAACTAATGTGGTTAGTCTACTTTCTAAGGTTTATGTATATTTCTTTTAACCACACTTGCATGCTGTAGTGCTGTAGTGTAGTAACACTAAGTGTGCCCCACTAACAACTTCCTAATTTAGCATTCTGAGTCTGCATCTGTTAATTTAAAGGGAAAAAAAATCCTGCTAGCTAACATTGTGTGTTGCAGCTCCCAGAAGCCTCGAGTCAGGCTCTCTTTGCTGACAGTCAGGCCCACATCTGGGCTTTGGAAGGTAGGAAGAAACTGTGAATACTTACATCTGATTTGAATTCAATTTCCATCCCGCATATTCATTTATTTTCTTTGATTTCCCTCCATTACAGGGCTGTCTTACCTTGTTCAAGCCTCATTCTCTGAAGATCAGTTTGGGGTTGTGCAGACTACATTACCCAGCATCCTCAGCTGCATGCTGGTCTTACAAGAGGTAAATTACAGTATATTATTTTACCTATACTGGATATACTTGCTGGAGATTTTCTTGTGCTCCCTTAAAGTAGAAACAGAACAACAGTAGAAACAATTGTCCTAATGGCTTTTCCATTAGGATAAGGAGACCATTTTTAATAGGGCCCAGTTCACTATAACGCAGGTTGATTAAGCACAATGACCATTTTAAGTAGTACA